GAAAAACAAACCAAAAAAATGTGGGTACTGTTATTTTGTTTTAAAATGTAAGAAATAGAATGGTCTTTTTTTCTTTTTTTTTTAATTATTAAAAATGTATATCTTTATGTTTACAGCACTGTGGTTCTCTACAGATTTGACAGGCATCGAAAGTACTTGTACACTGATAAGCTCTTCGCATTTGCAAGCAATAGATGTAAGTTCGATTCCTGAATGGGGAAGTCTCTTTCAGTATGTCTTTCAGCTGTATTATTGTAGTAAGATTTATGGCACTTGCAACACAATTAAGTTATACTGGTGTCAAAGAGTAACTATTTTCCAAGAAAGTAACAAACACCAAAAAAGGAGATAGATGTTTGACAGGAAAGAAAGTGCAACCACACAGGGCACCCGCCAACTACCAATTCCTTCAGCCAAAAACGGTCATCACAGGCTGGGTGGAATCACCACCGTAAAAAAGAAGTATTTCTTGATCAAATGACAGAGGAAAATATTTGCTGTCAATAACTGGCACAGTCAAGATGTTCGATGCAGGTTGTTTTTTGTTTTTTGTTTGTAAAGTGTTTTACGGCGCTCGCAACTGCATAGATCATATGAGCGCGCGGGACACACCTAATATTTTCAGTTGGTAGGAAATTTTGAATTTTGCCCGGGTGGCGGCCGAAGCCTACTCTTATCGATTTTAGACCACCAAGGGATCTTTAACGTGCGCAACTTGCACACGGGCCCTCCGAGATTTTTCGCCCTTGTCCGAGAAGGCTAGATGTAGATCTTTCCTATCAGAAGATCAGGGGTGTGGCAGAAAGACAGCTGTAAGGGGGGGGGGGCAAGGAGTAGCAGTAGAAAGGCTGCAGAAAGAGTCAGGAGCCCAGAAGAGGGGGCAAAGGAGGTGAGGGGATGGGGGCAGAAAGTGGAAATGAAAGCAGACAACAGAACATTGCTAGAGAGCAGGAAAGGAGGTGAAAGGAGACAATTTTAGAGAAGAAAATTTTTTGGTCGCTACCCGGATTCGAACCCTGGACCTTTGAATGAGAGAACCTTAACCTCTAGGCCACGAGAGCCCCCATGCAGGTTTTAGGCATCCGTATAGTACAGTACAATAATAATAACTACATTATTATAGCGTATATCTGCGCTCTACAGAGTGCTCTAGGCGATTTACAAAGATGATGTCCTCTCAGTTGACTATAAAAGTAAACCAACCTTCAGTCTGAATGATTTTACAATAGAATCAATTTGATATCTATCCACAATGATCAATTATACTGTAAGTGGGACCAAAAACCAAAATCAATCATACAGTGATCTTTATCTGATTTTGGGAGCTCATATGGTTATGTTTGCAAGAGGATAACTAATGTAATCGGATATGATACACGATGGCTTGGAATTCGTTACCAGGTCATTTGCTAATGTTCTTTCGCTCTCTCTATCTCTCTCTCTCTCTCTCTCTCTCTCTCTCTCTCTCTCTCTCTCTCTCTCTCTCTCTCTCTCTCTCTCTCTCTCTCTCTACATAATATATATATATATATCTTTCTCGAATACACATACATACAGGTAAAATAAAAGTAATATATATATATATATATATATATATATCTTTCTCGAATACACATACATACAGGTAAAATAAAAGTAACGGTGATGATAATAATAATGAAGATAATTATACACATATGTATATATCAAGAAGCTTAGAGCTAACTGTAAATTCCTTGGTATATATACATTTATAATCGTTTATTAAAAAACACATGCACACACATACAAACACACAAAAGTAAATGTACATACAAACATACAAACATGATAAGAAAGAGTGAGTGCGTGTGTGTCCGTTTGTGTGTGTGCGTGTGTGTGTATGTGTGTGTGTGTGTGTGTGTGTGTGTGTGTGTGTGTGTGTGTGTGTGTGTGTGTGTGTACAGCACGCATAGATAGATAGATAGATAGATAGATAGATAGATAGATAGAGAGAGAGAGAGAGAGAGAGAGAGAGAGAGAGGGGGGGGGAGATACACATGTGCACGCACTAATAAAACAAAAACACACGCCCAAGAGACGCACGCTGGTACGCAAAATGCGCTCACATAATAAGAACAGTTTTTGTGACACTCACTCTTTACTTTTTTTTTCTCCCGCGCTCTCTCTCTCTCTCTCTCTCTCTCTCTCTCTCTCTCTCTCTCTCTCTCTCTCTCTCTCTCTCTCTCTCTCTCTCTCTCTCTCTCTCTGTGTGTCTATGTATCTATGTGTCTCTCTATCTATCTATATATGCTGTACACACAACCACACAAACAAACAATCACACACACACACACACACACACACATGGGCACACACACAAACGTGTGTGCATGTATGTATGTATAAACTATATGCAGGTAAAAAGAAAGATAGAGATTGGGAGAGGAGAGGGAGGGGAGGAGCTGTCGACAAATAGAACAAAAGGGAGAGAGAGAAAGAAAGAGAGAGAAAGAGAGAGAGAGAGAGAGAGAGAGAGAGAGATATATATATATATATCTTGAGACTCATGAGAAGACAGTGGCGATGTATTGACGTGTACGTTGGACGTGAACAGACGTATGGGGAGGGGTATGGATGGAGGAATGAGAGAAAAGTATGTGTTTTATTTACGTTTAATGAAAGAATGGCATGTGTCGTCTTTGGGGTAATTATGAAGATTCTTTTCTTTCTTTCTTTCTTTCTTTTTTTTTTAAGAAAGAAGGGGCTGGATGAGGAGGATAGGAGGAGAACCGAGATTCATAATTGGTTAGTGGAGGAGGAAGAGAATTACAAATGTGGGGAAATTAGGACGGATTAAAGAAGTAGACGTAGAGGATAAAAGGAAGGGGTTGATTGAAGTGTGTAGAAGAAGAAGAAGAAGAAGAAGAAGAAGAAGAAGAAGAAGAAGAAGTGGTTGAGGTGAGAAAAGGAGGTTGCCGAATATTCGAGAAAGAAAAAAACCAGAGCAGTAGGATATACATAAATTGGGAATGCGAAAAGAGATAAAAGAAGTGCAGTTAAAGGAGTGAAAGACGCACAAAGATGTGTATTTTCGTCCACGGCCCATCAGAAGCCCACTAGAACTTGCAGACGAGAGCTTAGCCGGCCCCACAATTTGGGACAAATTAGCGGGAACTGCTACAAGCAGTACCCATTTCGTACGTCCATTCTTCTAATCGGATCCATTTAAGAATTCTTGCACAGGGATGCCCACATATGACTAATTGTACACTATTTCAGTCCCTGCGAATGTTACACGCCCTGACTGTAAATTCTTGGTAACCTGTCCTATCGAAAATGGTTTAATTGATTGAGACAGGAGCAGTGTTTAAAATGCTCAATAGGTTTTCGTTCGATAAAAGTAACAGTCTACGCATTAGGCAAGTATATTAAGAGAAAAGATAACGCAAAAATAATAATTATGTTTAATCCATAGACTTGCATCATAGTATCTAAATCTGCACTCTGACGCAACTCCAGTTCACCATGGAGCACACTGTTTGACTCTATTTGGAACCAATCAAAGAGCGAGGAGTGAAAGGCTGTACATTTAAAATACTACAGTGGGACTGACATTTTGTCGTTTGTTTTGGGTCTCAACGATACGAACCATCGCCATGACAGTGCTCGGTCTAAACAGATATCACAGTTCAGTCTATGATTTACCTAACTCCCCAAACTCCTTTAGAAATAAGACACAACTGATCTTCGACATTCATTATACTCACTGAAAGAAGAGTAACACAACTCATGACCCAGTGTCTTTTAAAAGAGAGGGAAAAAAAGAAGCTTTCGTTGTCTATTGTTATCCAGGCAATGCGACCGTGTGTTATCTGCAAGTCATCCTAGAAAACAAGTTGTAATTGTCATCACATGGCACTGACGACAACTGCCAATAGGTACGGAGAAAGGCAGCCAGAGACAAACTCAGACAGACAGATTTAAAGACAGATAACGGGCATGCACACAGAGAGACAAACAGACAACCGTGAAAGCTCAGATAAAACGTTATCTTTTACATTATTATTATTATGGAGTGCCAAACCTGAAACAGACATCGGTGATCATGGTTTGTCCCTCATTTCTCAGCTTGGATGCTCTCAAAAGAACTATGTAATCCTGGTCTTCCCACGTCACCTTTCTGTTCACGCTCGAGTTCTTTCAGTTATTGTTTTTGGTCTTCCACTGCCTCTTCAGCCATTTATTTCTTCAATAAGCTCAAGATGTTCAGGACTTATGTCTATTTGAGCGTCCCAGAAACTGCAATTGTCTCTTCCCGACTGTTTTAAAGTTGTGAACAGCCCACTCGGGTTTCTTTCAGCACCTCTCATTTTTTCTTCCATGAAATCTGTAATAGCTGCATGTGAAATAACACTTCTACTGCTTCAAGTGTATTTTCACTCTCTTTGGCATTTGTGAAGCATTCACAGCCGTATGGAAAGGTTGATAACACATAGCCTTATAGAGCTCTTTGAGTGTCTATTAAACCGTCTTCAGCCATTACAGTTTTTCGCTTTATCTCCTTGGGACATTTGTCATCGGGTAATGATATGTCTTAGCTATTTGAACTGTTGAACTTGGATGATCAGTTCCTCATTTGTTTACGAGATTACAAATATTGTATTGCTTTTGTAGATCTTACCACACAGTCCGTTGTCTTTGCATTATAATATAGCCCCTTATCATCAGATTTCGTTACAACATTTTCTAGAAGCAGCTGGAGGTCCTTCTCTGAATATGGAATTACTAAGTCATAAGCGCAACTCACAGTCTGTGGCATCTGGCGTTTTAAAAAAAAAAAAAAATTTTTTAAGGTAATACGGAGAAACGGAAAGACATGGGTGCTCATTTTAAGACAAACAATCAGACAGACAGACGGACAGACTGACAGACAGGTAGACAGACAAATGCAAAGTCAATGAAAGAACCACTTTTCTGCATATATTGTGAGCAGTGAAAAACGACGTTTTCAAAAACAAAAACTAACTATTTCAACTTACGTGGGAAAGTATGGGTAGGTTCCAGGCCCCAGCTAGCATAGCCTCGTTCTTGCACTCGTTTGACGGTCCTATAAATCCGACAACCCCGTCTCGCCACAAGTTGGACATCTCGAAGAGAGAGTCATTGGTCTGGCCTCTTGTGTCTCTGATGACGTAGGTCAGCTGATAGCCTGGGATGACCTTCTCTCGGTTGATCCTGTCGATGGCGTACGCCAAAGCTCCAGAGATTGTCTTCCAGGTCTGGAAGGGGACGAAAGACCTCTTTCTCGCCGCCACCAGATAACCCAGGGTCAAGGTTGAGTTGCGTCTCGGGGGCACTGGAGCGGAGAACGAAGGGTGGGGCTCCATGTCCGGATCAAAGGACCGGAGTAGGTAGGAGACTTCCTTGTCATTTTTGTCAGACGCAGGCGATGAGATCGAAGACAAGAACGACGAGAGGTCTCTGTTGCCGCGAGCGTATTTGGTTTCGCTTTCAGATGTGAATGTGGACGAGGATGAAGACGTTCTAACGACGGGGATTATGATGATGAAAACAAAGACGAGACAGCTTTGGTCGCAGAGATGGAAAGCCATTCTTATTTGAGATAGAGCGGCATCCGTTCATACATGATGCGTTTTCTTATCAGTACCAAAAATCCCTGATATTTGTTACAAAAAAATAGGTACTTATCAACCGTTTTAAATCCTACATTTGAGCTAAAAATATGATTTCTGACAAGAAGGGAGAATCCCAAGATTTGAAAAATATATCTTCCAAATGACTTTTCTTACACCATGGAACGAAAATCCCTTTGCAGGTAGAGGGAAAAAAATAAAAGCACAAATCTGAAGTTTCTCTCAAATGGGCACCCGTTCACACATTATGCTTTTTCTGATACAGAAGAAAAATCCCAGACTACTCAGAAAGATGAACGCACTTATAGCCGTTCCTATTCCGACGGCAGAATTCACCGCACATGGTGTCTCTGAGAACGGCTGAGTCCATTTTTGTCACGACTACGGGCAGGATAGCCTGGGATACAAGTGGCTTTCATGCGTATCTCAGCTCTTTTTGCTTGAAGGCACTCGCAGAATTCACATCAGAAGTCGGACAAGCCTGAAAAATAGAAGTGAGACCCGTGAACAAAGTGTGGTTTATCTAGGGAATGTTGCAATGATGTGGGTATTTTAGGTTTGGGTATTTTTAACCAGACTCTATATGATTGTGGTGATTTCTGCTCTCGCGGTGCGATCTGAAGCCTATTATTGTCTTCTGGTTGTTGTTTTTGTATATTATGCTGCAGTGAGACATTCGCACGTACAGTCTTAAGTTGACTGTGCGAAGTGATTACAGCAGAAGCTTTTTTTTCTTTCGTAAAATGTGCCCTTGTCAAGACTAGGGTGTCCATCAAACAAACTGGTTGTAGTAAGAAAAAAGTTACAGGAAAAAAATGAGTGCGCCTGTTAGGACTTGATGTGTTACAAGATTGCACTCACCAAAAAGATACTAGATTTTATAAGTCAATTCAATAAATACAATTGAAATGATACAGGGAAAAGTCCGTCTGATTCGAAATAGCAAAACATGCATATCCATGCTGCAATCTTTAACTTAATGAAACTTATGATTTACCCCCTCCCCCGTAATAAATGCAAGTACGTTATAGCGGAAGAGTCCCTATCTTGTAGGATGTCAGGTGTTTTTATTTTAAATCCTTGCTTTTTCCATCATATAAGGACTTTACCAGACTAGATACAGAACAAGAATAAACAAAATCAAAGATCATAATCACAGTTGAACCGACCAACATTGGATGAATAACTTCCATATTCACTCATTAAGTTAGGTTTTTTTTTCTTTTCTCTCAATCTTTCCGTTCCCGAAAAAAGACACTTTTTAAAAAGTATTTGGCCCTACACTTTGGAAGAAATATAACAGTCTAGTAAACTTGGCGTAGCATGTTGTCAAAACTGCTGGATCAACACAATAACACACAAACACAATCCTTACATACACACGATGATGGGTTATGACTCAAACGCCACAATGTGTTACTTGTGCTTCCAAGAGAGAGAGAGAGAGAGAGAGAGAGAGAGAGAGAGAGAGAGAGAGAGAGAGAGAGAGAGAC